GCACGCTCGGAGCACTCTGGAGCAGCAGGCCGCCTCTGACAGCACATTTTGCACAAAGTGGCGGCGACGGCGGCAGCGCACACGTTGGGAGCCTCCAGAGGCAGGAGAGCCGGGGCCCGTGGATAAGTGAGGCCGCCCGAGCCTCAGGAGGCAAGGGCTTTTGTCTGGGTCGGTCTGCGGACAGCCTGGGCTCTCTGGGCACCACTGAAAATACAAACTCTATCCTGGACCGCGCCTTCCGGGACGGCTGCTACTTGGGGACTCCACACACTTGCCCGAACACGGGTTAGGGCGCTTTAGGGGTCCAGCCAGAAGCTGGGGGACCAGCGGCACGGAAGTGCCCCCATCGCCCCACGGCCCCCAACCCCTCCACGCTTCCTGTCAGCGCTGGCAACTGCTGCTGGGCGCCGAGGAGGAAGCCCCCGGGAGCACCCCCGGACCCCAGCGGGGCTCCCGGGCAAATCCTCGCCCGCCTCCCCGGCGCCCGGAGTCGCGTTTGCTAGACCCCCCCGCCTCCCGACGGGTCTCCGGCCGCCCCACCCCCCGACGGGCGCAGCGCTCCCCGGCTGCCCAGCGCCAGGCAGCGGACTGGAGGGGTCGCCGAGGGCCGGGCGGGCCCGGGACCCGGCGGATGGGCCTCTTACCTTGGGCAGCGGCCCCGCGCGCAGCCAGCAGCAGCGCGGCCAGCAGCGCCAGGAGCGGCGGGCGCGCCCCGCGGCGGCCTGGGCGCCGCATTCCTCCTCTCGCGGCGGCGGCGGCGGCGGCGGCGGCTCCCAGGCCGCGCGCAGAACATCCACGGGCTCTGCCCGGGGTCCCGGCCACCTCGTCCGGGCCGCTCTCCCCGCAGGATGCCGGGGGCGTCTGCAAAGTTCTTTGTCCCTCTAACCTGCTCCCTCGCTCCGCCCGGCCGCCTCTGGACCCCGTACGCGCGGTCCCTCCTCAGCCCTCCGGCTGCAGCCTCGCCTCCGCCGGCCGGTCAGTCCCGAGCTGTGGGTGTCGCGCTAGCGGAAAGGCAAGTGCCCCCAGCTCGGACTCGGAGAAGAGCGCGCCCTGCGACCGGGGGCTGCCGTCCCGGGGCTCCCTTGGTGGCGGCTGCTGCGGCTCCTCCCGCTCTGCGCGCTCGCTCTCTGGCTCTCAGCTTCCCTCAACTTGTCACTTTCCACCAACTCTCCAGCCCAGCGCCCCCGCCGGACCAATGGCAGACGCGGGCCCAGGCCGGCGACCCAGCGCCCTCTGCTGCCGCCTCTCAACACCCGCACTCTCCCGGACTTCCCAGAACGTTGTGGCTCCCGCGCCTCCCGAGCACCCACCTCCCCTCCCCCCACTGAGCCTCAAACTCGCAGCGGGACCAAGGGGCCCTCGAGGCCGTTTGACAGAGGGGGAAGCCGAGGTTCAGGGAGACTTGCCCCGACTCGCAAAGCAGTCCGTGGCTGAATGGCTTCTTCAGGAGGTCCAGATCCTAGCACTCTGGGCTCTGCCAGTTAGCTGTGTGCTCCTGGGTAATAGAACATTTATGGTATCACACAGTTTCCCTTTTGATTCCCTCTTTGACCCAAGTCAAATGTTTTCCCATTTTGCCTTTAATTTCTGGTTTTGTTGTATTGAAATCCATATCATCTGTACTTCCGCCTTTTTGGAGATTTATTGAGGATTTCTCTGTGGTCAGTTTTTGTCAATGTCCCAAGACCTCTTGAAAGAAGGTCTTTTTCTATCTTCAAAATGAGGAGATGGGTGACCGTCTCAATGTGATCTTCTTTACATTTATGTTATTTAAGTTTTCCGTATCTTTGGCTTAAGCTGCTCTACCATGGGCCAAAGGGGTCATTAAACCTCCTACTAACAGTATATTTTGTGTCTCCTGCTTAAGTGTTATGAATTTTGTGATGCATAAGGAGGCCCCTTGTTCATATAAAGTGGTGAGTACCTGCTGTGCTCCAGGCCCTGCTTTAGGCTCTGAGGATGCTAGAGCAATAGGAATACCAGTCAGTCTTGCCTTAGAGGAAGCAAAAAGCCCAGTCTATTGATAATCACTTATTGAATACTTCCTGTTTGCCTAGCGCTTTGTGTGCATTTGCTCATAAATCTTCCATTGACACTTTAAAAAAAAATCATTACAAATTTTTCTACCCCTGTGCACTTTTACATAGATTTTCCCCATATTGCAGTTTTAGAAATTGAAATGCAAAAAAAAGAGTACGTGAATCGCCAGCAGTCACACAAACAACAGGTGGCCAAGCCAAGACTCAGTCTCTTTACCATGACAGGACTAAAAGTTCTTGGCCAGTACCTGGCATATAACAAGGCCTCGGTCAGTGGCAGTGGTCCTTATTATTGCTGCAGGAATCACCTCTAAGAACTCAGCTTTAGGGGCGCCTGGGTGGCGCAGTCGGTTAAGTGTCCGACTTCAGCCAGGTCACGATCTCGTGGTCCGTGAGTTCGAGCCCCGCGTCAAGCTCTGGGCTAATGGCTCAGAGCCTGGAGCCTGTTTCCGATTCTGTGTCTCCCTCTCTCTCTGCCCCTCCCCCATTCATGCTCTGTGTCTCTCTGTCCCAAAAATAAATAAAAACGTTGAAAAAAAAATTAAAAAAATAAAATAAAATAAAAAGAACTCAGCTTTAGGATTTTACAATGAGCAGTCACCTCATGGAGGGCAAGGACTTTGTAGCCCAAAGTACGTCCAGCAGGTCACAGACTCTACCTAGACTTGCAGGCCTCTGCCTTCAGGCAGGTGAATGACTAACCCTTGTGGGACAAACAGTCACTTATTAGTCTCCAAGACTTCAGGGCAAGCGTGTCCCCAGCTGCCACGGTAGCTTTCCCCCTTTCTATCACTCTGACCTGAGGTCAAGGAATGATAGACAGAGAGGCCTTGGGTCAACCAGTTCATTGCCTAAATAGGTCTGTCCTCCAAGTTCCTCTGCCTGAGACCCATTCAATCCTGTCTCAATTATCTCGTCACTTGCCTGAGGAACTTACTGCACAAGGTTCTCTTGTTAGGAAACTGTCTTTGATGGTCAGTCTCAATATACGATGGCCCAGAATCAGAGGAAACTTGGTGACACCGCACTTTGGTGACCAGTCTTCCATGGTCTACAGTACAACACATGGTTGGCAGACAAGGAGCCTTTCGAGTCCTTGCACCCTGCCCCAACCCCCATTCCATAACTGCTTGTCCCAGGTATCTTAGGTAACAGATGGCTGCCAGTGCTGAGTATACAGAACTTAATGGCACTTTTATCAGTACTTAAACCTTCCAGGGACTTAATCACAGAATCATAGACGTGAGGAATGTGACAGCTCAAACGGGTCTTGGAAATTAACTAGTGTTCTCCCCCCGCTCAAGATTTTATAGAAGAGAAACATGGGACTCAGGGAGTTGAAACATCCTTGCCTAAGGTCACACAGCTGGCCAGAGCCAAAACTGGAACCTACATCAACCAGTCCAGACCTGGGTAAGCACTCCTTTGGACATCCCAGATCCCTTGACACTTAGCTATAACCCTACAGTTCCCAAAGGACAGGCTTAGAAAAGGCTCTTCCTGTTATTGCTATTGTTGTTGTTATTGTTGTTGCTTAAAGGACAAAGGAAATACTCATGCAAGTTCAGTAAATGCCAGTGCTTAGGAGCACAGGCTGAGGATGATTCTGCCCAAGTTCATGCTCAGGCTTTTCTGATCTCAGCTGAGGGACCATGGACAAATATCTTAGTCCCTATGTGCTTTCTCATCTGCAAAATGGTGATGCTAGTAACAGTACCTATTCCATACTGTTGTGAATTGTAAATGAGTTATCTTATAAAAAGAGCTCTTATGAGTAACGCATACAGAGTAGGCACTTAATAAATGTTAGATGTCATTATATTATTATTATATACATACAAGAACTTACGTAGACCCTCAAAATTCCTATGAGGTCAGTCTTGTCTCTATCTTTTACAAACAAGCTAAAGTGAAATGAGGTTAAGAAACTTGCCCAAAATCACAAGGATTAAGGCAAAAAAAGTAGGACTCAAGCCTAAATCACATCCCTTTCTACACAATCCCTAACTGGTGAGATGTTTGAAAAGCCCCAGGCAATCCAAAGGTTCTTCTTGTGGGTCTCCTATGGCCCTGCCCTCTCCCCTTAACCAAGCCAGTGGTAGATACAAATGAATTAATGAATCCAACAGGAGTCACTCTCTTTAGAGGGTCCTGGCTCAGGTTCAAATGTACTTCCTGAGGCATTTCCTGCTTCCTTCCTTGCTGCTCTGGAAGGAAGCCATCTCCCCTGGCCTCTCCCACTAGCACACACATGGCTCTGTTTATTATCACCATGGACGCTTGGAAGGCAACACCATGGTAAGTCATGGTGGGAAGGTGGAGACGGAGCAGGAGAGTGACAAACCAATGAGGGCAGGTGCCAAAGGGAATGTAAAAGAAACTACACATTTGAAAAAGTTACTGGAGAGAGAGATTCATTTGGGGCATTTGCTTGATTTACCCAACACATACGGCCATCAATTACTCTTCTTGGAGAAACTGAGTAGCATGATGGTTACAAGTTAAGCCTCAGGAGCCAGATTACAGGGATTCAAATCCTGACTTTGCAGTTAGTAGCTGTGAAAACTGAAGTCTGGTGTGTCAGCTTCCTCATCTGTAAAGAGGCAAAATAGTCATACCTACTATCTAGCTTTGTTCCCAAGATTAACTTAGTTAGTACTTTCAAAAATGTGTTTTAATTGGTTAATACTTGTAAAGCGTTTAGCACAATGTCTATCTACCACATAGGAAGCAGCCAATATTTATTAGCTGTTATTAGTGTTGGGCTCTAGCATTAAACAGACCTGGCTAGATGACCTGAACAAGTTGTTTTACTTCTTTATGATATAATATTCTCATGTGAAAAAAAAGAAGAGAGAATAATAGACCCAACATATAAAGTCATTTTAAGTATAAAATAATCTGCATTATACCTTGAATATAAAGTTCTCAATATACTGTTCGGCACAGCACCTCTTCAATAAATTGTTGATTATCATTTTTTCTTCAAACCTCTACATTACAGGGTGCAAAAGAGGCGTAAAATTTGGTAATATCCAGTATAATCTGGATTGTACCAGAAATTTGGTAATTTCTGGATTTCTCGTACAATCTTGATTTCATGTATTTTGTTCCATTAGCTTTACAGGTCCATTTGTATGTGGGTAAAAAAAAAGACGATAAAAAGACAAATTGGCTCCCCTGTTGAGGTCTGTATGCCCTTCTTATCCATGCTGTATCTTGTGCTGCCACGTGTGTGTGTGTGTGTGTGTGTGTGTGTGTGTGTGTGTGTAACATCTCTTCAACCTAGTATCATCATCAGAAGTGTATGAACAAGAAATTCAAGAACAGTAGGGTATTGTTAGTAAAACTAATACCAAGATGGTATAGCCTGTAAAACTTCTGAAAGAAAACATAGGAGAAAATCTTGGTGATCTCGGGTTTGGCAAAGTTTTATTAAAGAAAGACAAAAGCCATGAACTACAAGAGAAAAAAATTGCTAAATTAGACTTCTTCAAAATTAAAACTTTTGCTTTTCAAAAGACATGGTTACGAAAATAAAAAGTAATTTATTGGGGTAAAATATTTGCAAAATATATGTCCAAATAGAAACTTGCATCTAGCATATACAAAGAACTCTTACTACTCAATGATAAGAAGACAAAAATCTAAGTTTTTTTTTTTTTAATTTTTTTTTCAACGTTTATTTATTTTTGGGACAGAGAGAGACAGAGCATGAACGGGGGAGGGGCAGAGAGAGGGAGACACAGAATCGGAAACAGGCTCCAGGCTCTGAGCCATCAGCCCAGAGCCTGAAGCGGGGCTCAAACTCACGGACCGCGAGATCGTGACCTGGCTGAAGTCAGACGCTTAACCGACTGCGCCACCCAGGCGCCCCAAAAATCTAAGTTTTTAAATGAGCAAAATATTTTAACAAACACCACTGAAGAAGAAATACAGATGGCGAAAACATGCCTGAAAAGATTTATAACATCATTAATAATTAAGGAAATATAATCTAAAACCATAGTGAGATATTACTACATACTTACTAAAGTAGCTAAAGTTAAAAAGATGAAC